GCCCCCAAGCTTTTCCTTTGTTGCATTAGTTCACAGTGGAGGCACCAGCTGGCGCAGTCAAAAGTGTTTCCGATGATAACATTAGAGTCGGTGCAAAATGTCAATATTGTGATTAGTTTGCATGCTGCATGACTGATCGTCACAGATATTGTAACGCTGGGAACGGCATACAAATAGCCACGCGCTTAACGCACATGAAACCAAACGTGTTCCTGATCTCACCATGTCAGATTTTTATTTATATATACATTTCTAACCATTTACTGTGGATAAGGTGATGTAATGTAAAGGAAATGTATTTACGTAGCAACATGTGACTTTTATAACAGTGGTGTTTGGGGCCTTTGTTAAAAATGTCTCGGTGTGAAAAAAAAATAAATATGAGCCAATTAACCAGTAGGAATAAATAATTTGTAATTATCACCACGCGACCGAAAGCACAGCGAGAACAAGAGGGAGGGTGAGCTTGTGTGTTAATCAAGGCATGATGAATTGCCCACGTTCATACAAACATGGCCTCTTCATGAGTCCCCTGCGCATCCCTCTTTCTCTCTCACACACACAAACAGGCACGCGTTCGCGCGCACACACACAGGAAACAGCAAATAAGGAGTGGGTGGTGTGTCGAGAATTAATTCTATGAAGTGCACTGGCAAGGAGACAGCGTATGTAGATAAGTGGCGGGGTGCGGAAGGAGCGCATTACCTATGTCGGAGTGCGCACGCGCAACTTTGGGATGAACGAACCCGACAAAAAATGCGCGCGCGTGCAGGGATGCTCGAAGGCCCAACCTTCGTGCGCGTGCACGTTTGCGTCCGGGAACGTAAGTCGTGTACCGTTGTCGAGCCGGTGGCGGTCGCAATGACATGTCTTAATCTGCTTAGTTAGCGGCCGGCGGTCTTTAGCTAACGGATTATCCACCAGATTTGAGTAATAGACTCCTCATTTAGCTTTAATGCGTTTTGTATAGGGAGCAAACGCCCCTCATCACTCTTGAAGATGAATCGGCCTCCCAGCCACAAGATAAGGGAGGGGAAAAAAAAAAACTTCGAAAGATATTAGTCAGCTGGCAACTTCATAAATCATAACATTTTATTCTTAATGAAGGGAAAGTAGCATTAGCCTCCGTCGTGTAGCGATTCTGTGACACAAATACACTCTGGACAAAACACCGTACAAAATCTTGGTTGCCCTACAAAATCTATACAGTGACGTTTTCTGTATCGTAGTACTGTACCAGTGGTGTCCAAATGATGGCCCGGGGGCCATTTGCGGCCTGCCACAAGTTGACATGTTTGATTCACACACACATGCTCGTGCATGCAGCGTCCTGAATGGAATCGTTCTTAAAATCCGCTGCGCTACTATTTCAACGATCTCAAATTAAGAAATTAGCTCTACATGACATGGTTATAAAATGCTTCAATAGCGTTTTGACCTTAAAATTCCAGTCAAGCAATCCCCTGACAGGTTGTTGGATAGTGCGTGTTTGTGTGTGAGTGTGTGTGTTCTTCTGCCATATTTTTGTTTGGCAAAGACATGAAAGAGGATTGTAAAAAAACAAATAAATAAATAACATTTTTCTTGAAATGATGCCTGTAACGCATGCGTTCACAAACATCCACCTACAAGCAAAGAGACAAAGAAGCGTGACGCTTCCCACCAGCGGCATGCACTGGTCTGGGTATGTGACATGCACATTTTGTTTGGTACTTTTAATTTGACAGTGTTCAGTGCTCAGCCTAAACACACACACACACACACACACACACACACACACACACACACACACACACTGGCGCAGACATTTACTCAACACACGCATGCACACCTCTAATTTGACAGCGCTCTAACAAGAGCCTGCTGCTTGTCAAATGTTCTCTAGTGGCAGCAGGGATCCGCACAGCCGAGGGGGTTCTTTTCAAGGACATCTGTGAAGGAACACACACACCCACACACACACACACACACGCACACACATACACACGTGCGCACGCTGGCTTTGAATGGGCTGCGAGAGGCAGCCTGCTGCACACATGCTGAGGGCTGCTCCTCATACTCTCCATCTTGCTCTCTCTCTCCCTGCCTCCCTGCCTTTTCGCTCTCTCTTTATCTAACATTCCATCGCCTCGCTTCCCTCTTTTGCTCTTAAGTAGAGGGCTGAGGAGATGAGATAGACCAGGGTAGATTGCGGGGACACCTCCCTGGCTGGTTCCAAAAACCGAGTCCCTTTCTCAGGCCGCACACATCAATTCTCTCTTCTTTCTTCAATCCAAAACACCAGGAGACCTTTTCAAGTTACTCAAAGGCGGGAAGACTTTGGTCTTCTGGATTTCGACCTATTGACGTGTGTGTGTGTGTGTGTGTGGTGTGTGCTCGTGAAGCAAAAGCTTCTCTTCAGTGGGTGTCCACACCCCCCCCCCATCATGCTGTCTTAAACTTGACTTCTGTGAAATACTTTGCTCATTAGGGGTTTACTGGAGTTACTTGTCAAATGATGGCCACTCCACCTGATCACAAAGCCAGCCCTGTGGCGCACCTGAGGGTGAGCCAGCGTGCGTTGCTTGGACGGAGGGATGCGTATGTAAAGTAGACATGATAGAGACGTGAAAAAAAATTTACATTTTCTAACATTATACGGTGGATTCCCCCCCCCCCGACGACATTTTAGTGACGGCTGAGATTAAAAAAATAAGTCAAAAGAAAAACCTTTCGAATAGATGTTGAGAATAAAAGAAATGAAAACGCCACACCGCGACTAAATCCTATTTCACAGCACACGTCTTTGGTATTTTGGCTGCGGTGAGGGGAACGTGACTAATAATCTATCGGCACCATGACTCCCATTTTGGGCCACTCGTCTTTTCAAAGGCACTCCATTTCTGAAGGACTGGGAAGGCATATACAGGACGGGTGGAAGGCGAGTTCAGGTCACCCCGGAGATTTTCAGTCCTTTCAGGGCAAAGGCAAGGGGTCGAATGACCCCCCCCCCTTGTCATGTGCCAGAGTTGACTGGTTCACTGCAACCTCTCAAATGGTTTGCGGGTACTGACTGATCTTGTTTGAATTGTTCAATTTTCCTATTCGAAATATTAAAAAAAAAAAATCTGTTCTAGAGGTAAACCTTTTATTCACTCTAACGCAATTGCCATTTACAAGTGTGAAATTACATTTCTCACTATGAATAGTGAGAGGGAAAGACAATACATTCAAAAGTGTCTTGCTGTCATGGCGGTTTTCGTCACTGGTTGACAACGTGACCGATCTGCATATACAAACTCTACTACTGTATATGTAACCTTCTCCAGACTGATGCCTTTCCCAATTAGATAACTTTGAGAGCAATTGTATGATAACCATGTTTTCAAAGGACACAAAAAAGAGGAACTTGCACAATGAAGAGGTAATTTAGAGATGGGATTTTTTTTTCATTATTGTTATCCTTGGCCATAAAGTCATAGCAAGTCAGATTTAAAATCAAAATGTCAATCTTTGTTGAAATGTATTACAAATAACCAGACAGGGGAAGAGATCAGAGTTTTGCCATCTGATATTATTTGATCGCGAGTGTGTGCAACTGTCAGATAAAATAGTGGCCATCCGATCCAATGATCTAGAAGGAAGGTTCACAGAGCAGCATCTCAAATGTCAGCATGTGCATAAATACAAGCCGGTCTTATTGGGAGTGACATTAAACTAAAAAGCCAGAATGGCATCTTTCGAAAGCTCTGCGAGCCTTGCCGGGATCGCCCATCGACTTAAATGGAACGTGAACAGGCCCGTTTTTAATGCAGTCACTATATTTAACATATCGCTGGCATCGAGCCGAACCCTCAGGAGACCCCGAAAATGGGGCAGTAGGCAGGGAACACCCTGAACCGGTAGCCAGCTAATCGCAGGGTACACGTAGACATGCAACCATTCGCGCTCCCAATCACACACTGAGAGACAATGTTCATTAAACCTGCCATGCATGTGCATGCATGCAAGAGTATAGATTTTTTTTTTTTTTTTTTATGACATTTTGAAATTGTGTCTTATGTTTCGGCTTGACCCCAGTGATGTATCTAATTTTTTTAATAGTATATTGCAACCTGAAGTTAAAATCTTGTAAATTAGTTAGTTTAAAAAAAAAATAAAAAAACCAATGTACTGTATATTGCATGCGATTGTCAGAATGGAAAATACTGGAATATAGAATATTGAAGCCGTGTTGCTGAGTGCTACCACTTAATACTATTAATTTTAGTGTGTGTGCGCGCCCGTGCACACGCACGCACACACACACACGCACGCACACACAATCACACGACTGTGCTAGAGTGCTCTGTGTCCTCTAAAAGTATGGTTCTTGACTGCAGCCATTTTCTGTAAGAGTTAAAGGCTAAGGAGAAAGCGCTGACCTCGCATCGCAGCAATTTCCTCCTCATCAGCTTGTGAGACTTCATTAACTTCGTGGGGTAATTTCCTCTATAAAGGCCTCTTTTTTTTTTTTTTACTACACTTCGTCTTTTTATCCACCCACCCACCGCGAACTCCATCTTTTGCGCCCTCTTTGAATACCAGTGGTAAAAGACCCTTTAGGAATTTTGAGGTGCAGTATACGAAGCAAATACGAAGCAAGAGCACACGTCTATTCTTACGCAAAGGGGTGCAAACATGAAAAGTCTCGAATATGAGGTACTGATGCCGCACAGCCTTGCTGAGGCCCAGGACGCGGCCATTGACGGCCGTGCGTTAGTTGAGCTCTGGAAAGATGTCAAGTGTGAGTCAATGCTGCCCTCCTCAGGAAGGGAGGGAGTACTGCAAGGATGGCCGATGGGTAAGGTCAAGAGTGGGCTAATGGCTGACTTTGGCCGCACGTTCGTTCACCTTTCCCCGGAAAGTTACCTGATAAAGGGTCAATAATGGATCACTTCACTGCCGCTGGATCGCTACATGTTGAAGGGGTTACCTTCAAGAAAAGGGGGAGAGGGGGCTCATGTAGCACTTAAATTCCAAACAGTTGCACTTATTTTTAATACCTGTGAAGTCAATGAACCATTGGAGGAAGTGAACAGTAGAATGAGAGAATGGTGTTCACTCCGGTGATCAATGTTCATTTGTCCGTGCCGATACGCAACCTTCCCTCTTCCTTCCTTCCTTTCCTCGATGCGGCTCCACACGACACATTAAGTACCCAGGCCAGGTTTGGTGCAGACAAATGCCAGCCACTCATTTTCCCAAATGTCATCTCTTGACATGGCATCAACAATCTGCGTCAATGCGTCCTTTTCTGACTCCTCCTTTGACTTAACGGCGCGTTCTGTGTTAAGGTTCTGATGGTAAATAAACAAAAAGGAATTCACAAATACATCTCAACGATTAAATACTAGTGGCGTATGCTCTAATATCAATTTCAATTAGGTTTTATCACTGCGACAGTACAACCGATCTACAAGGCATCACATGTCAAACACAATAAATACAATTTATAGTATCTTTAGTCCCATTTATCCAGTGTCAATCAACTACCTGTTTTAAGTGTGTTATTAAATAAAAAAAAAATTGAGAAAATGATTGCAAATCCACAGACAAATGAATTCAACCATGGGACATTTCTGATTAAGCAAAAAAAAAAAAAAACCACACACAATGCTCTGTCAAATACCTGGAGAATTTTGCTAGAATCTCAGTTCCCAGAGCACCACTTGGGTTTTACATGCTTCACTGATCCCGAACCCGGTGTCTCTTTCTCATGAATGTCCCATCTGTGTCCTTCATACAGGCAATCAGGAAATTGCGGCACTTGCAAGTATACTGCTCCGGATATTCCCGGAAATGGCTGACATGGACGCTGGAGACAAAATCATAACTGTCCACTGGAACTCCTTTAAACTTCAGGGTGTCTGCAAAGAGCCTGACATCTCTTGGCCTGATCACTTGATCAGCTCGAGAGTAGAGGAAGAAATGAGGCCAGGCGGGCGGCCTCTCTTGCACCGCGTCATAGTGGTTCTTGTGCACATATTTGGTCAAGGGGTACAGCACGATTCGCAGCAGGAAAACAGTCACTGCAAAGAGCGCTAGCAGGAGGTACTTCAAAACAGGACTTATTTTCGGCCCCAAAGTAGCGGCCAGGGCCCGCACTGCCCCTCGGACATTCCCGCTACCAGGAGCGCTGTCCACAAGGGCCCCGATGACACACAGGGAACTGAACTGTTTGTCCTTGTGCAAAAGCTCGACAATATATCTGTACAGCATGAAGCCACCGTTACTGAATATGTGGAAGAAAATGGGACTATGCTCCACCTCATAGTCAAAGAGGATCTCCAGCAACTTGAGGGCTGTACGTCTCAGTTCTTTGTATCCAAATGACTCGGAGATAAACACGGTCTTGAGAGGGGCCGTGTAACGGATAGTGACGCATCCCTGGATCAGAAAAGAAGATCAGTGAGCTTTAAAACGACCAAAATGAATCGCAATTAAACCTTGAACCTGTTCATTGTAGATGGAGCTGTACTTGGTGAGGTGTTTGTCTCTGCAGCCCGCCCATCCCAACAGTATGACAACAGGCTCTTTTGTTCCCTGCCAGTGTGTCTCTGGAAAAGAGAAAATGATTAGCGCGGCATGGTAGCGAGTCGCCTGTCCAAACCAAGTAAATATGAAGCGAACTCGGCACGAATATGGGAGACTGACATTTGCGCTTTTCCGTAGAAAGTTAGCAAGAAAGCTAGGCTAACGCTATGGCGTAATACAGCGCTTGTGTCAATGAACGGTGCTCACCGCTGGTCGCTTCATCTGGAAACACAATATTGTAGTCCATTTCATCATTTGCCATTATTGTTCGCAGCACTACAAGTTGGCTTTACGCGACTTGGAAGCTCGGTTACATCCACGGGAGTTTATGAAGCCATCCGAGTATCATAATGTACATACGCAGAACAACGCGGTTCAGCGACTGAGACGGAATCTACTGTCAATGTGCTTTGTGCGCCGCTCTCATGCCGGAAGTGAGCTCTTCTTTTTGACCTCTTAAACGATAGCTTGTGTAAACCCCGACGACATAATGCTGCCCCCTCCTGTACTGGAGGGAACAACACCTCTCATCTTCACCACTGAAAACTACAGCCACAATCGCTTACAATTATTTACATGAATACGCTACTTGTCCTTGTGGAGATACATTGTGTTGCTCTGTGCAGAAAAAAAAATACTGCTACAGAATGACCGAGACAGATTTCTTTTTTTAATTAGGAAAAATACAAGGGAAGTAAATTTCTTTATGATCAAACAGGTAGTTTCAGATTAATAATTTAAACAAGTTCAATTAAAACATGAGAATGATGGTTCAATGAGCATTCCTCTCTCTAAAGATAACACTGGCTTTCCAAAGCCCTTTGACAAGTCTGATTGTTTTTAATTGTCCATCCTCTCCTGCTTTTCCCCCCAAATCATTTCCATCTTTTGCACGTGGGCTTTGGATGACTTGGAGAAGGTGCTCTTGACGATGTTGAGTGGTGTTGCCTTGCCACTGAGGTAGACCTTATTGAAGGAGGTGGGAAGCCGCATCTGCTCCTCTCCGCTTACATCCACTTCGTCCTTCTTCACCAGGGTGCATGAGTAGGCAAATATGTATCCTGTCATGAATGCATCAAAGCCAGCTCGGTGCGTGCCCGGATCTGCCTTGTTTTGACTTTTTCCGCTCATTTCAGTGTTGGTGGACTCCACGTTGTCCTCACACAATTCCTTCTCCTCACTCTCTGTTTTCATGTTTTCCCCGTCATGCAGTTGGGTGTTTGTATTGCTGCCTATCAAATTGGCACTTTGCAGACATCCGGCAGACAGCCCTTGATGACCCTCGTCTGGATTCAATTCCAAATGGGGAATTTTGTTTTGGGGGGCACCTTCCACATTGGAGGAATCTTCCTCTATCTCTCCTTCCTTTTTCTTCTTTTGACGCTTCCGCTTTTTCTTCTTGTCATCCTTAGATTTATCATCATGGAGAATGATAAGGTCAGTGTCGTGGGACAAAGGACACTTGGTGCCATTGGAACACCAGCCGAACGCCTGCCAGGCAAACCAATAGAGAAAAGTTTAGGATGGGATAGCTGATGACGTGTAAAAGATGAATTTACTGACAGCAAAACATTTAATAAAAACCCGAGCAAACTAAAGTTGCCGCAAAATGGGGAAATGATGCCTGCAGAAAATTCCATTAATTTGTACGAACCTCTCAAGTATGATCAGTGGAAATGGAAGCATGATGCACCTGAGATTACGTTTGAGCTCTGTGGCAAAGGCTGTGAATATTTATGGACACGTGATTACTTCTGTTGACTTTTCAATGAATTTGCCAAAATTAAATATCTTTTTTCGCATTGTAATTATGGGTGATGTGTGTAGAAAACATGAATATATTCCATTTTGGAATGAAGCTGCAAGACAAAATGTGGAAAAATGTAAGCCGTGTGAAAACATTTTGGGTATGCTGTACATTGAACTGCTAACAACCAAAAAAATGTGCCTCTGCCACTCGTGATTTCTTGTGGCAACACCCCATACACTCTGAGTGCAAAGTGAAGGCTTGCATCGTTCGGCTGATGGAGATGCAACGTTGGCCAGGCTGTTTTGATTCCCATTTCTTTTTCTTCAAATCAAAAATTATTCCCAGAGCTTCAGTATTCACTTGGACGAAAATAAACATGATCAAAGTTTCGGTGAAACTAACCGAGAAGGACCTGCAGATGTCAGCTTGCTCTGAAATGGGGGGCCCAGCCGGACAGATTCTGTGGTCCACATAGCGGGACATGGCGCCAGCATACTGACAGAACTCAAGATAGACATGACGTCCAGTCCCACCGGAGTCCTCATTTCGACTGTTATCCAACTTACTAGAAGGAGCAGAGAAACACGGGCAAAGCAGTCAAATGAGGAGAACATTTTTTTCATCCTTGTTTTTACTTTCTCAGAGCAAGATGTTTGTTTGGCATAAAGGTACAGTCAAAAAATTCCCACCATTTCTTATAGGCGTACTCCAGATATGAGGCACTGAATCGAAGATCAAATTCTGTCACATATTTAGTGTCGAAGATGCCTGCAGGAAACATCTCCGATAGGTCGGCTGTGAAGGTGACTAAACGATCTGGTAGATGTGCATAGAAATTCTAGAAGAAGAAAAAAGATTGTTGATTGTAAAAAAAATAAAAAAATAATAAAAAAAGAAGAAAAAAACCCGTTGGTCATTACAACCTGAAAAAAGAATCCTCAAAAAACAAGAATGGATGAAGCCGTGAACGCAAACGTCCTACCTGGTAGAGAAAAGCGATATCAATGAGGCCATTGTGGAGCACCAAAGGTTTTCTTGCACGTAGTAGCTCAGTAAATAAAGCCCGAATATTAACACCCTGGTTGTCTGAGCCGCCCTTGCAAAACAGAGAAAGAAAGGAAACATCAAAACTAGGGCCGAACAATTACTTGCATTTGACATGTAATTGTATATTAAGTCCCAATGGCAGTTTTGAGGCAAAAAAAACAAAAACAAAAACAAAAACAAAAAACATTATTTTCCCAAATAATGGTGACAGGATGTCATGACAGCAAGCTTCAACACAATTTCAAAGGATACGCTTCGTTCCACAGCATGCCGTTGAATGACAGTAAGGTGAAAGGTGAGTAGAGTTTATGGCACGAAAATTCAACGAACTCAAATAAGATCATTACATACCTTATTATTACCCCTGTGATAAGGTATCCCTTTTGCATACTGCTTGTTGAAGTCAAACCCGTGTTGTACAAGGAACTGCACTGATTGAGGCTCAATGATGTACTCCTCTGAACATAGTAAAGTGAGGTTGTACACCTGGACGAGGTACGTGTCTGCGGCCTGGATGAAAAAGTAAGGAGGGCAAATTTTAATGTTTCAACATAACTACAGAGCTGCACTGTTAAACAAACGTATGTCACAAATTCAAAGTCATTGGAAAATATGTCATTTGTTGCACCTTGTTACTGAACTTCTTGTAGCAAGCAATTCCCAAGGAGAGGATGGAGCGAGAGCGGGCTGCATGACAAATGGCTTTATACCTGTCTTCTATAGACCTGTACCACAATATTCAAGACAAGATATTGAAAGAAGGCTACAAAAATAAGCTTATCCTAGATTTCAGATGAAAGTTGTAAAGTCAGAAGATTTTTACTCACTGTGCAAGCAATGATGTTCTATTTCCCAGGCCACTCAGCTCCTAGGACAATAATTTGCAAGAACTAGGGGTCATTTATTGAATCTTTTAATCCTGCTACCCACGTAACTCAATGCATCCATCTTAATTCAGATGATGCACTACTGTAGTAATCTTTCACGTACCGTATCTACAGCAACGAAGGAAGATGTTTTGATCGCCACCACCATAGCAGGCCAAAGTTCTTTGAAATTGCCATTCTGGACATCAATTACAGGAACGACAAATGAGGACGTCATTTTGACTTTCTAAACAGTGTAAGATGATTTTAGTAACGGAAAGCGAAAAGGAACGACGCGGTGCGTCAATTGTGTCGTTACATGCGGCAAATGAGTAAATCATCAATTGCTTTCATTCTAAAATGCTTTCTGATTATATATTTCATGTAATGTATTCATATTGATATAAGAACTGTTTACGCAGGTAGAAGAACTACTGAATGAGTGCCGACTGAGAGTAGAAATCGGCAGGTAAACACATCCACAACGTGCTCCACCGGTCCTTGGTGTCGTACGCGTAGGGAGTTGACCATACGCCTGTTTTACCGGGACATGCTAATTCCTAAATATTATCTAGTATGTCAATCTGATTTATTTTACATCACAATGCAACCTGCAGTATTTACCATGCTGTATTTCATCCTGGAGACCTCTTATTTCGATGCGCTTTTTCCATTGTTTTTGTTTTATCTCAGGCGGTTGATGCAGACGCATAAATTACGTCACATACCCAACTAGCTAAACGGAGGTCGCCATTTTGGCTCAAATAAAGTCAGAAACATTTAGTTGGATACGAATGTTTTATATTTTAGGTTTAATACATTCCATATAATTTTCTGAGCATCCTCGTTATGTGAGTGAGATCACATTTGACAATTAACGTTTTTTTTTACGATGAAAATGTGCAGTTTGATTTCCACAAAGTAATGATTACCTCTACGGAGCTTGGCTGTCAGCATAAAATAAACAAATAAATATTAATAATTTTGACGCTCGTGTATTTTCCGTGCGCAATGGGTGGATGTTCGGCTCCTAATTGTTCCAATTCAACCAGCATAGGGAAACAGCTATACAGATTTCCAAAAGACCCTGTCAGAAAGAAGAAATGGGTTGTGAATTGCCGACGCGACTTTGAACCAACTCCACACTCGAGACTTTGTCAAGTAAGTACAGTATCTGTCAATATCTTGGCGGAAAAACAAACAAAACAGATTGTGATATAGTCAGAGATATAGCCGGTAATCGTACTTAATATTATTAAGGGGTCGTGATTAAAAATAAAAAAAAAGTTTTGTTTTGTAATCTGACGAGGGTCATCTTTCCCATCTATGTTTCCTGATGATGTGTGCCGACCTTTTTTTTAAAAAAAAATTACACTTGATCTTTTTCATTCACTATTGTGGCGTCTTTTGTTTTGTAATAAATATTATCGATGTGATTTCTGTATACTCCTCTTAATATTGTAGGACCATTTTGAGCAGAGTCAGTTTGAGGAGTTGGCAAAGTCTCCGGCTGGTGGAAAGAAATTGAAGCCCAATGCCATCCCAACTCTCTTCAGCGCTGGAGACCCTCCTTACCCTGCAGTTACCACTCCATTCATTATGCTTCCCTTGAAACATGAGCTAGGTAAATGCAACGCTACCTTACATTAGAAAGGTGCAACAAGTTGGTTGACTCTGTGCCACACAGTTGTGAAGCAGTTGTAAAAAACGGTGGTCATGCAACTAAATACTAGGATTGCTAAATCCTACCTTTTTTTTGGAAATACAAAATAGTTTTGAGTTTGTACAGTCAATAGCAGACACTGCTATTTTTTTAACACACCCCTTTGAAGTATTTGCCCAATTGCACAGCCTTCGGAGCGTGCCTATTATGAATGCTGGGTCTTGTTTGTTTTCTGAGAATCTACTGCACCTACTGGTAACTTGTCTGGCATGTAACAATAAAAAAATATACTAAAAACCAGGGATATTCTGGTTAGTCACATTGCACTGCTATTATTTTGAACAGCACTGTACACTGTCTTGGCATCACAAACAGATCATTAATATGTTCCAGCTTTTCTTTACTGGGAGGATATTTCCGATAGTTTATATCCACGTGACCAGCAGAATCAGGGAGTATGCTTGTTTGTATAATTGTTACGTTCTGTCTGTAGTGGAGAAGGAGCCCAACGTTGGTGACCATGGCTATGCTAGACGCACTCCCCTGCTCGGCCTGGAAGAGGAGGATGGAGATAGGACAGCTGCGGGCCAGCAGTCCTGCACTCAATGTCACCTCCTCAAAAAACAGCTGGAGAAAGAGATGCAGCACACCGTCAGACTACAAAAGGAGGTGAAAAACTGCTAAACAACGGCAAATAAGCAGGTCTTTGTGATGTAAATGATGATCCATAATTGTAGCCCACTTATTGATTTCACATCTGACAAAAATGTGCCCTTCCAAACATCTTTGAGGGTTCTTTTTTGAAATTATTGTTTAATGATCCAAAAAAACAGAGGACTACTAATGACGGCGACAAAACATCCTCTTTTTTTTTAACAACATTATCACCTGTTGCTTTGTGTGTGTCAGGCAGAGGAGATGAAGAAACGTCTCTACAGGCTGGACCGTATTGAGAAGGGACTCCAGAACTTTTTGTATGAGGACCAGATCCGTGCTCTGTCTCTCACCAAACGCTCTCGCCGAGCCGTCTGGTCTCCGGAGACTATCCTGAAGGCCAGAAAGATTCGAAGCGCAGTGGGCACCAAAGGCTACGAGTACCTGAGGGAGCTGGGCTATCCGTTGCCCTCCTACCGGACTCTATGTAACCGCCTGGAAACCAAGATCATGGTCACAACTGACATGAGCTGTGAGGAACTGGCAGAGTTGGGCTTGGGACTCGTGGGCGCCTGCAATAGCCCAACGGAGGATGTTGGCGACAACGATGAGGAAGACCTTCTTGGTGTCTTGTCCTGATCTGTGCTCTTTGTGTGACTCATTAAGCAGATGAGAGATCCAGCAAAGGCTTTAAAAAAAATGATTTGACACCATTTACATTTTTTTTTTTTTTTAGCACCATTGAATCGAGGGTGCCCTTTACTGAGATGACAAGAGCATCCCAGGTTTATGCAAAAGAGGAAACTGAGGTTTGTCATTTGAACATGCAACAGACTGAGCCATGTGATGACTAGCAGACCAAACACAACCTACGTTTCGTGTCACGACTTGCGTAGAAAACCGAAAGAACCCTCACAAAATGTTTGTTCCAAGGGAATTGTATCTAGTCCAATGGAATTCACTTTATCGACCCCTATAATCCAGAAATTATTACATAATGGTTTTTTTTTTTTGTCAGGCAGCAAGAAAAACGCTGCAACAAAGCCTGCATATAACATACGCATGGAGCATGTTTACGCGTTTTCTATATGGGTAAAATGTTATGATACTTCTATGTACATTTGTATGCTTCCATTTTTTTTTTTTTTTTTTTGCATACAGAAAACAGTACAAGAAATGCAATTTTTAATGCTTCAGTGTAGCACCGAAAACTATGCTCAATAACAACACATGGCACACAAGAACACCTTAATTTAATAAACGAGGGTTTGGAAAATGAAAAAAACCTCCCAGTAAATTAAATGCAGATAGTGCTGACAAGGCACCACTACGTCGAATTTGAAATGAAACCAACAAGATTTAATTTGAAGATCGCCACATCTAAATCAGGCGAATGATGTAAGAACTACAACAATTTCTGTGAGGGAAGTAAGCCATCCATCGTACAGCTAAAGTTCAGAGCAAGAATTTGTTCTGTTTAGGTTTTACTGTAGAGGCGATTTTGAAACTTGTGTGAGAGTTCAGAAAGTGGCTTGGACCTTGGACTTGATAAATCCAAAACACTTGTGTTACAAACGTGTTACGTTGTGTGTGGACAGTGTTTTACTCCTCCTCTTTGTTTGATTTGGGGCAAGAGTCCAGCCCAGAAGCTTCAAAAACAGCAGAGGTGTAAGGATCTCTTTAGGTCAAAAGGACAGCAAGGATACCACAGAGGTGAGCTGTTTTGGTCGGACTTGAACATTTTATATATAGAGAGAGAGAGTGAGAGAGATGCCAGTCCTACTTTTTTTATAACGTTGATGAGCAGTAATGATATTTTCTTTTGATTATCGAACTGTCCAAATGATTAAATCATGTTGCTGTCCATCGCAGTCTATCAACCAAATGTATAATTTCAGCTCTTGTTATAGATGGGTGATGATAATTAATTTTACAGTGAAGTACACATCCAGTATTCCCCGCAATGTGCTGCAAATGAGTAAGACAAAGTGACATGACCGAATGCCCTTTTTCAGGAGCGTCTGCTTCAACAGCCAGAGAGGACCATGTCCTCTCACCTGTTGCTGTGGACATGTGCGGCCTTGCCAGGTTTGCTGTTGGCCTCCCAGGCCAGTCTCTTGGTCGAGCGGGAGGACGCAGGCACCAGGATCTGTAAACCTGCCCCCTACTGGGATATCAAAGGAGAGGCGCCCATGCAGGCCTTGCGAGGAAGCTTGGTGGTGGTGGCGCTGCTGAAGGCCAGCTGACAGTTTTGTCTCACTCAGGCCTCAAGGTAAGAAAAACCGTTAAGATTCAATATTCATTTACTTTGAAAGCACAACACTTGTGAACCGCATCTCAAAACTTCCGGGCTAACCAGCAACACGGAACACAGACTATAGTGACAAAAATTTGGGGATCTTCAGCTTTTGGGTGAAATTTCAGGATGATCTGAAAATGACCCTCTGATTCTGTGTCCATCTTTAGAATCCAAGGCCTGCGTGACAAGCTGAACCGCAGCAACCTGACCGAGGTTTCCTTCATGATAATTAATGAGCGAGACTCTCTGTCCAGAGCAATGTACTGGGAGCTGAAAAGAAAAGCACCCGCTGATGTTCCAGTTTACCAGCAGACTCCTTTTCAAAATGACGTGTGGGAGGCGCTGGAGGGTGACAAAGATGACTTCCTAATCTATGACAGGTAACTCAGCCTCCTCTTCAGAAGTAAGACACTCTTTCCCTGGAACACATACTTCAGATTAAAAAAAATAACGTGAAATATTTCTTGGCAATGTTTGCATTTCCCAACACTAAATGTCAAAGGTCATTCTATCTTTTCCTGTCCTGTTCAGGTGTGGTCTCCTCACATTCCATATAGTGCTTCCATACAGCTTCCTGCACTACCCTTATGTCGAGGCTGCCATCAGAGCCACCAATTATAAAAACATCTGCAACTGCTCTGTGAGTAATCGCATAAACACAAATGGGATGCACTCACACGCCATATACATTGAAATCTTGAAAACATTGAAACAAAAAGGTTTGAGATGCCTCCCGTACTACGTCATTGTCATGGCGACGTTCAATCAGCCGGCTGCAACCTTTTGTTCACTTTTGAAACCTAATGTGATCTAATACCATCCAACACAGTTCCAATACAATCAAAGAAACAATTCGAATGGAACATAAAGTGGTGATATGTTGGGGTACTGCGCATATTAAAAAAAACAAATTCAAGTAAGGGCGGCCTGGTCATATATACACCGATCAAATATACACCGATCCAAAGACCCTCAAACAGATAAGCAGAACTTCCCCTTCAAAATAAGCTGATAATGTACCCTCACCTGCCAGAGTAAGCAGTGCTAAATGTAATGAGATCCAATGTGGAATTCCACTACACCATACTTGGGGCTGTTTCTCATATATTTTTTTTCTTCTCATCTTCCCCAGGCTAATTTTACAACAGTGAATGACATCGTCACAAAGAATGACACACTGCCATCTGACGTCAACCACACCACAGCCTCACCCAAAAATCAAGCGAACACAGAGCACGCTGAAATGACAGTAACGACTCCGAAAACAATACACACAGACCACCATCATCATCATCATCTTCCTCACGGCCACCAGAATCGGTCACATCCTCAGCAGGACCACAATACAACTGGAAGCCTCAGTCATCTTCATTAGCATCACAGTCACTTTCAGCCCTCCAACCGCAGCCTTCATACTGTCAATGATAATTAGTAAAATAGTTTAGTCCACATTTGTTTTGGTTGGGTTGATGTCAGGGAAATTGTATCCGCTCGGCGGATGTGAAGCATTAGACATATCGTGCTGCCTCTGCTCGCATCTTCTCCCAGTATGTGGAAACAATTGCTTCCGTTGCTCTTCGTGTGCTCCTGTTTATGAAGTCTACAGTCTGGAACCTGGCTACAGGAAGCTGGAGATGGATGTGTGAGGAGAGACGCTTTGGAATGACAGCTACTGTTTCCAAGACAGAACCAGAGAATGCAGAGCATTGAGGCTGAGCACAACTCACTCTGTTTTTTGTTTCCTTGCCATGTGCTACATCAATTAGTAATTATCTACAAAGTAATGCTGACATGTAAATTCACAACACACGCACACCCAGTTTGGATGTTTTTGGTGTCCTTACTCCTTTAAATGTAATTAGTTTCATTGGGGTTGCAATACAAATTCTTAATGGAACCTGGGAGACCAGAGGAAAGGGTTATCATTTTTACGAGGCTTGAAAAGGAATGTGGGTTTATTGACTAAATTTTTGCAAGCTCGGACCTTTCTTTTTGACTTTCTGTTATCGGAAGTTTTACTTTGAAGGAATACGGAAATGGATAATGGCTTATTAGACGGTGACTTAATAATGCATAACGAGACGATTCTAAAACAGATTCACAGACGACAAAATAAATAGTTTAAAGAAATTTGGCACGGTTGAAAGTGACAATACGGTGAATATTTGTGTTTATAGATCTAAAGATTTGTTTTTGATTAGAATATGTGCTTGCTTAATCGTGTTTTAAATGGACGGAGATAAGCGTGACTTATGGCGTCAAGTTTTATTGGTCAGCCTTCATCATCATCATCATCATAATAATAATGCCAGCTGTACTGACGTCATGTGAATCATATTTCCGAATGTCCACACTCTTTCCACTCACGATTAAGGGGTCACTCCATTTTGCAGGGGTGTCCGAATGTCCGAGAGAAAAAAATTTAATGCACTCAAAATTACCCACAACGTACTTGGAAAAGTAGTGAGCATCAAGGGTCACGCGTCAGGTTCAAATAGACCATAATGCATTACGAACAGGAAAACAAAATGGCGCACACGAGTGACCGCACGCGTGAATATCAAAGCAACACTTTAACCATTCATTTTTAACAAAATCAATAATAAATGATTCGCTTTATTTAATTGAAAATACGTACAACAAAGGAAATAAAATACACTTAAAACTAGAGCTGTGAGCAGAAGGACCCCACACAGCCCAGGCCAATTTCTGGTACTGACATTTTTGGAATTGGAAATATTTGAAAATGGAAAATGTGTGTGTGTGTGTGTGTGTGTGTGTGTGTGTGTGTGTGTGTGTGTTTTGGGGGGGGAGTTGCCAGGACTGATTGTGTGCACTAATAGACCTGCAAAAACAACGTTGCTTTCTTGTCCAACAGTGTGTCACAACGGCAGTAGCGGTACACGATACATCACAAATGTCGGGTTTCAACATCCTGAAAGCCTTAACACTCTTTCGAGAAAATATCAGGTATAACTGGCTAACCCTGTAGGACGGGGGGAGGCAACTCTGGGCCGAGAGAGCCGCAGTCCTGCTTGTTTTAGAAACTGCCCCTTCCAACACATCGGATTCAAATGATCAGGATCTTTATCAGGTTTTTACAGAGCTGGCTGATGAGCTGAAAGCTCGAAAATAAGCAGGACTGCGGCTCTCAAGGACGTCAGATAAAAATGGCGGACATCCTGTTAGATTCAGGGTAGAGCTCCAAGAGACTTTTTGCACTCTGGGTTTTGATCTGTTACATCCGCCTTTCAACGAAAGGCAGATTCTAACCGTTGTAATTTAAAAAGTGAGTCTTTAAGACCTCATTGTGATGTGATGAATCTGGCATGTACGACAATGGGCGGTACATTCCTGTATGGGCGGTTTGCTTACTCATATCAAGTTTTTCCACCTACTTCACAAGTAGCATTTGATGTACCTCACGGACTTTGTTGAAAGGCTTGTGCAAGATTGATAGATAGATTGATTGATGAATCGATAGAACAGTCTGATTGATTACAAATTCTTCATTTTGGATCAGCAATGAGTGACATTCAGATTCCGAGTCATTTTGATTGACCAAGTATGTTTAAAAAGTAAATTAGCACTGGCGGTGTCATTGTAAAAAGTATCCAGTATTGCAGACTTCCATTCAACATTATTGCTGCGTGCACTGGATCGCATGCTATTTCTAATTTGGTGTCTTTTATGTGAAAAGACATTTCCACGCCTTCCCCATAAATGCACTTTGCATTGTCACAAGTATGTCAGGTTTGGTGCACTATTTAAAACATATATAGAATATTTTAGGACAATGATCTTTAGTATGGCCTGTGAAGTGTGGATCAAATGATCATAATATATATTTGTTTACATTTCAATGAGGAACCAAAGTTATTTTAAAACCGGAAGAAAGTAGTGAACCATCAACCGTCTCTCCACCTTCAATCGGAACAGTTGAAAGCCGGCGAGCTCGACCTGTCGCTAGGAGGCAATGTGTCAAGATTATTGTTGCAAAACAGGAAATGCTTCAATGAGAAGTTGGATTCTCACAGTACGGATGCAGATATTGGAAATGGAACATGAGTTTGACTGCCGCTGGACCTGAAGAGGAAAAAAAAAACACACAGCAGTCGCCACCTGAATGGAGGTAGGTTCCTCTTGCTTCACTCGAAATAGTAAAAGCCTCAAAATGAATGAAATATAGATTTGATGGCAGCTCAGGATATAGTCAGGTGTATGCGTGCTGCATTGAAAACTCTCCAGCGATGACTTTGGGTAGCCAGGCTACACATTTGGCCTCCGTCTTAACCGTCGCAGGTTGCGTGAGGATGCTCTCCTACTTTTCCTAAACTGTCACCTTATGTTTTATTGTCATTAATTCATTTTTCAATTTGTGCTTGATCTATGATGCAGTGTAAGATTAGGGACAGGTATTTTACAACATTTTATGGCTGCCAATGTGAAGGTTAACAATCAACTAAATTGACCAATAGACTCTCGACCAGTTTAGGGGGTATAGTCCAGATTTCACCAAATATAACACAAGCCGAGAGAAAAGAGCATGCGAGAGATGATCCTAAACCATATTGTGTGTTGCCTGGGACGTTTTATGCTAAATATTTATTGTTTCCTCGTTCATTTCTTCTTGTGAATTGCTTGCTTGTTTTGTCACATCATGTCAACGTGGTTTCTCTTCAAATTCAGGGTTTTCAGGAGCTCACCATTTGGCAAAGAGCCTCGATATCTTACCAGGAAATTCTGGACAATGGAGGTATGCTTTCACTGCAGTTACGTTTTATCACAAAACATGTTGTTTGGAAATGTTGGCCTTTTTCTCTGTCTAGATAAGAGGATCGAAAACTGGCCCCTGGTGTACTCCCCTGTACCTGTCTGCTGGATAATTCTGTGCTACCTGTTCATCGTTTGGGCCGGGCCAAAGCTGATGGCAAAGAAGGAGGCCGTCAACCTCAAACTTGTCTTGATAGCTTACAATTTCACGATGGTCTGCCTGTCCGCCTACATGTTCTATGAGGTACTAAATACGTGACACCGCCTCTCTCTGTATTCTTGATCCTCAATGAAGATGCAAATGTAGGCCGTTGTGGCGCAAAAGATCGGGACAACAAATGCTCTCCCCTCCCTAAAGTATTTGAAAGCGTGAACTCACCTCCTTTATTTTTGCTGTAAGACTAAAAACAATTGGGTTAGAGTAGCTAGATTCCGGACAGACTTGGCTCCAAGCTAGATGCGAGTGTGTCACATTCAAAAAGATGAGGGCAGCCAGTTTGATTGCCGGTGAATGAGGTCCACAATGGCGCAAACCATCCTTTCAATACGCCGCCGCCTTGTGCACATCTTGGAAATTACCAGCACCCGGTTTAACGTGCCTCTGCGTAGATTTAGACTGCTCCGGATTTGTGCCGGTCAGGAAACTTTGATGTTAGTGTCGGTAACTGAAGGGCAAATTCTGTCTTTGCAGTTTACGGTCTCTTCCTGGATGGCGAATTATAGTCTGCTGTGCCAGCCCGTCGACTACAGCAACAGTCCGCTGGCCTTGAGGGTAATACTCTCCCCCTACGTACCACACCACTTTCCCATGTCATCAGATGAAGGCTTTGAAACGGTCTTGCTAATTTATCGTTCAACAAATTGACAACGGACTAATCCTCATGAACTCAAACGTGTCTGACCTTGTGCAGATGGCCAGCGTGTGCTGGCTCTTTTACTTCTCCAAATACATCGAGTTCTGCGACACGGTAAGTATGACGGTCAGATGATCGTTTCCGGTTCCGGCATGTTTTGACCACAATTAAATGAAGGTAACCTTTTGTCGATTCATGCAAACCGATGTTGTCTATTTGCGTCAATCAGATGTTTTTCATCCTGAGGAAAAAGAACAGCCAGTTGACCTTCCTCCATGTTTACCACCACAGCACCATGATCTTGAACTGCTGGCTGGGCTTAAAGTACACGCCGGGTGGCCAATGTGAGTGCCTGCACACAGACACGCAAAGCTGACATCACTTTAAGAGGACACAAGTGTGTACTCCTTGTGTCGTATGTGTGTCCAAAGCGTTCATGAGTGGCCTGGTCAACTCCCTGATTCATGTGGTGATGTATTTCTACTATGGTCTTGCGGCGTTTGGGCCGAGTATGACCAAATATCTTTGGTGGAAAAGCTACCTCACCATCCTTCAGCTGGTTCGTATTCATGTCCTTGTGTGCGTTCCGCCGTCTGCTTTTATAACATTATGATCTCGACTATGTTTTTTTGTTTTTAATTATTGTGCCGTCACAGTGGCAGGCTACTAAATTAACTGGAGGAAATGGCCTCAATCAGTAAACTGAGTAAACTCTATTTTGAACTTTGGCCTCATCAAAAAAAAAGTGTTACATTTCGAGTGACGCTTTCAGTCGGTCCGCTCACATATCGCAAGGTCGCATCGTGAAAACACAAAAACAGATCATTAAGGATTTAACTTTATGTGCTGTGGCCAGGTAGGGTTATGAAAGAAAATAGCTCCAATGCTAACCTGCTAATAGTTGTTATGGTACAATAGCCGGATCACAACCTAGACGTAGCGGAAAGCACAGCATTTTACATTGTGCAGGAATCGCGAAAAGCAAGGGAACACTACTTGCTCCTTGAATCAACATCAGATGCAATCGTTTAGGATGATTGATGTTGTCTGCACACAGGAAACATGGTCACTCATCCCAAGTAGCTATTTTTCACTCAGGGAGGCATCCCTTTATCAGCCCCTATGCAAAGCAAGTGTCTTTGTGGTCAGGAGGAGAACAGTTTGTCATGAAGCTCGGTGTGTGTCGAACTCCCGAGCAGTTGTTCATTGTTCTGGTAGTCACAGTTGGAGCTCAGCTCCTCCACTGACTCCGGGACCATCTGTTGCCCTTTAGAATACTGACTGCTGTTGCTGTTGTTAGCTAGCTCGCTAGCTAGCTCGCTAGCTAGCTCGCTAGCTAGCTTGCTAGCTAGCTTGCTAGATAGATAGATAGATAGATAGATAGATAGATAGTGTGTATTGATAAGAATCCCATTTGACTTTTGTTGTGATCTCACGCCTGTTTTCTCTCTCTATTCACAGCTTCAGTTTTTGGTGGTAACCATTCACACCGTTTACAACTTGTTCGCCGACTGTAACTACCCTGACGCCTTGAACTTGATTGTGTTTGCCTACGCTCTCAGCCTCACCGCACTCTTCTGTCATTTTTACTACCATAGCTACCTCAAATCAAGGACCAACGACCTAAGGAAATGTAAGGTGTAAGAAAAAAGGACTTTGATATTCGCATGAAGGGGAGAACCAGCGAGACTGAGCGTGTTACCCAACGGTTCATTTCAGCTGTCGGCTCAAATTATATTCCGGCATGTCGAAAAACTCTCCGCAAAGGACAAAACGTTTTACAGTGCATCTGCTTGTTCTTTCGAGCATCAACGATTCACAGAATTGGACATAAAAAGTCAACAGACATGTGGTCTGAAGTGAAAGAGGCAAAGCCAATAAACGTTTGTGTTCAACACTGACAAAACTTGTCTGTGTTTTAACTTCGCCTGACACTTTTGAAATGTGATGCATTTCAAAAACGCTGTGAGCCATCCGCCGATAATTCCACACCATCATGCAGTGCGCTCGCATATATGATCTTTCTATTCTCTCAAAGAAAAGAGAACATTTGATCTGGATCTGATCTGTGTACATGCATGAGTGGTATGAGAAGCCTTCAGATTTGCCGATGACATCTCTGAGAGGCAGCCTCGAGAGCAGGGCTCACCAACCTGCTGCGGTTCTGACTCGTGCCCGGGGCGACCAGCGTCATACACACTTCTGAAATAATATTGGTTTGAGTTCTGGTTTGGCTTCCACAGATGTGCGCAGGACTCTGCGATCGGTCTGCTCTCTGTGTGACAATTTGTGTTTCGTTTGTTGCTTGGTCCGTGTCGTGTGTAAACGGAGAGGGGGTCAGAATGGCCTATGTCTGTGCTTCTCATCAAATTACAAATCAGTCTATCCTGGATGTTTTTTTTTTTTTTGTCCTGGCCACAAAAGAGTGGACCAGCTCTGCATCCACAGGAGGTTGCTGAAGCCCGCATGGGAGTTTGTCCAGCTAGTCTACACTGACTTGGAGAACGAGAGCGAGCCTCGGGGTTGTCCATATGATAGTCTGACTTTATACTGTTTGTCGGGGCACTCTAGGACCGGTGTAAGAGTTTGATCGACATTGCTGGTAGCAGGCGGGATTAGCTTCCAGTGAGGGTTGGACTCCACTCGGGTTGCCCTTGCCGCCGAGTCTCTTGACAGACGGAATTTATCTGCACAGCCGAGGCACTGACAGTTCCTGTTTGGCGACGTCTTCGTCTTTGCCGATGATGTGATATTGTGTCAGATTCATCAAGGCGCGATCTTGAACTCATGCTGAGTGTGAAGCGGTTGGAATGAGAATCAGAGGAGACCAAAGGCGATGCTCTTGATTTACTGGTTGTTCTACATTCCGAAACCTCACCTACGATCGTCACTTGCGATGGTGAGATGAAGCTTCGAGAGGCATCGAACCACTTGAGTCAGTTGCTTTGAGAGAGGGATCATTTCTCGGAGTTTCATGAACACATGAAACCACCTGCTGGCCGGGCGTCTCATCACAGGCAATCGTATCTCGTCCACATCATGTGTGATACATCGTTTTTTTGTCTGTGTCTATTTTGGGAATGTCTAGGAATTATGAATAAAAATAGATGATTAAATGGTTTCTCACCAGAAAGTGTACAGTCCTAACACAAGAAAAGCCATTTATTGTGTTCGTGTTCTTCTTTCCTAAAAGCTCGTGTCCTATGCGATGGCAGGCTGTATCTTAAAAAAAGAGGGTCGAGAACGTGCGATAGGAGAGCTAACCACTAGATGGCAGCACTGTCACGTGTTGTCACGCTTAAGGATTTCTTTTGTTTTGTTTTGTTTTGTATTTTTTGTCCAGGGAATCTTTTATATACTGTACTGTAATGAGCATCATCTTCAAGTCAAATCCCGATATTTTTTTATGTGTCTTTTTCAAATTTACATCAGAATTTTCTTCTGCTTAAATTCAAACTATTTGACTACCAATGGATATTGGAAGGCCATCCGATTGTGTTTACAAGTGTCTTTATTAATTGTGCGCCTTCTTTGTTTGTAGCAGAGTGCTTATTATTCATATTCGGGATTTTCAGGAGCTCACCATGAGGCAAAAACCTCAACAAATTCTGAAAAACTGAGGTATGCTGTCACTTCTTTCAGTTTGTTGTTGTTGTTAGGAATCTTCTTCTCTGTTTGACTAATCGGACAGAAAATTGGGAGTAGCGATATACATCATAATGATGAATTATAATGCACCCAGTATGTTGGGTACACCGCGTATGGCCAATGGTAATATTTCACAGCACACATCTATGCAAACATTATGAGCTATACTTTCGACTGCTTGGATAATATCTTCGTCATCTGATCACAAGTGTCTTCGTGGTCCACACACACACACACGCGCGCACACACACACACAAGCAAGCACAAAGAAGGTCCTTTCAAGAGAGCCTTGCTGCAGGCGCCGCTCCAGGCTGATCAGCGCTGAGTGCCTCCGTGCAACTCAGGCATGAGTGACTTTCCGATGCCCTCGCTTGGATCGCTTCTGTAGCCAGATGTCGGGGTTCGTTTTAATGCGTTGCCTTATTTTTCTTGTGATAGCAAGCACGTGACCTAAGCAAGAACACTTGAACTCCAGGCGATGTCCGTGAAAATGTTCACTGAGGCACATCTGGAGGAACTTTTTGTTTCCTGCGATGGCGCTGCTTAATGAATGATGTTGTGTCTGTCTCCTTGGCAACAGCGTTTGGCCAAAAACAGACAGGCTATAATTAATAATCAGGTTTGAGTGAGGTGAGAGGAGTGCTTTGCAAGCTGCCACTGCGAACAAGAGAGGGGGAGAGAGACAAACACACTTTTCAACCGGGACATACACACACGCACGCAGACATAATTGCCGAGAGCGAAAGAGGTTTGGCAATAAGAGGCCGCCAAGTGCGCTCCAAGTTGAGCCACCGTGTTGGTTCGTACGATGAGGGTGAATAAGAGGCTGCGGCAATCTCAGTAAGTCGGGGGCACACTCGACCACGGATGAACGACTGTTAATCACTCTGCCAACCTGTTACTTGCTCATTCCCAAGTGCGTGTGCGTGTGCGTGTGTGTGTGTGTGTGTGTGTGTGTGTGGGGGGGGGTTAAAATGCAAGAAGCCATGGTGGCTCCTAATATAATCTCTTGAAGGTGTTTTTAGGGGAGGTGGTGGGTATTATTTCGATTGAATTCAAGATGTGGAGGTGCAAAATACAGTGGTGTCTCCCGATATGCATTTCATTTGTTCATATCACAAAGCATCATTCTCCATTGTAATGTACGGATTTGTATTTTTTTAATGAGTAACTCGGTATTATTGTATGTTATGAAAACACAGAGTAATAATATAATTAAATAGATGGTCAAGAGTTGAACAGTTTGTGCATCCTGATTTAATGCCGCCAATCCAATTTATTGTTCAATATTTGCCTAACTACTGCTTATGTTGAAGTCAGTTGAAATGAGTTCATGGCCACTATATATCTAGCTAGCTAGCTAGCTAGCTAGCTCTCTGTCCTGTATTTGTGGGGTTTTTGGTGGATAAACACCAACCTCTTTTTGGGGGGTTCCTGTTTATGGACTGCTAGCTAAAGCTAGCTCTGTTTATTTATTGATTTAATTTTAAAAAAGCTATAAAATCAGGTCCAAAGTAAAACTCACTTAATCGTCTGTTTCCAAGGTCAAACTGTTTTAGCCTCATTTTTGTGTGTGCGTATGTCAGAGTAAGAACTTTGTTCACTCATGTCTGTTAAAACAGCCAATCCATGATGCTCGAAACAGTGTGGATAGTAGTCACCTGACTGCTTGCTGTCACACATTAACGTTTATAAGAACGCCCTGGCGTTTGAATGAAATGTGGGGGGATGGGGGGGGGGGAGCACTCGGGACAGAAATAGAAAGTACTCGATTCGTTATGTGCGCCGACAATAAAAACACAAGTCATGTAGAATCATCCCATGCTAAGATATTTATATTTATGACAGTCTTTAATATTTACACATTTTAACCAGACTAATTTTCATATTTTCAACCGTGGTCATGTAATGTTTTTCAAAGGGTCGCCCATATGAATGAGCCAGTTGGACAAGTCCACCGCACGTCGCGTTGGACAACTCCTCGTCGCTCTCCCCTCTTATCTCACTTTTATTTCACCCGTGCTTCCTCTCATCTCATCATCCATTATTTTAGCCCTTAAGAGCCCACTTGTCTCCAAGGCGCCCTCCTCCTCCGCCTCCTCCTCCTTCCTTGTATCCTTTCCTCAAGCCTCCAGCCGTCACCCCTTGCCGCCCTCCCTTCCTGCCGTCACCGTTCCTCTCGCTGGCTCGCGCTCCATCTCTGATGATTGGCGACCGTATTTCACTTGACATGAAGACAAAGGGCTGATCCACACGTGGCTTCTCTGTGAGTCGTGTGTAATATGCAATATTAATGTCGGCATAATTTGGCTCCCTGGCTGAGGGGCGGAGGCGGGCCCGAAAGTGGGAGGGCGTCACGCTTACCAGTGACTGCTGTTTCCTTCCTCAAAGGAGAGGAGGAGGGCTGTCAGGATGGATTGAGAAACGGTAGCGATAACAACAGCAGAATGCTCACTGTTGGCACCTTCTGTGGCCTATTTCTGTCTCGGCCTTTAATGGATATACAGGCTCGTTGCCTGTGAAACGGAGACAGCTCTCCCTGTCAGCCTTTCAAAGTGAAAGGTGCTGCCATCTGAAGTCTTTTCAGCCTTCAATTGTCGCGGTCAAATTACGAGTACTCTATTAGCATTTCAGGTTGGCTGGCTTGCATTTCGAGCTATTTTGGCACTGATTTAATGTTTATCTGCTTGGTTCTGCTATGGCCTGGGCTAACTTTGTCTGGTGTTTTTTGGGCAATGCGTGGAGGGATGGCTGCACATTGGGGCATGATGAAAAGATGAGGTAATTAATATGATCCCAATTCTGCTTTTTAATATGATCCTAATTCTGCTTTTTACCCCTAACCTTATCCTAACCCTACCCCAACCCTGACCCCTAACCCCTAACCCCTAACCCTAACCCTAACCCTAACCCTAACCCTAACCCCAACACTGTACTGTAAGATTTGAGACAGAGAGATAGAGAGAGAGCAAGAGAGAGATCGATTACATTATTACTAAGCTCATACTATCAAATAATCACCGCTGCCATTCTTTGTATTGCAGCCTTGCACAAAACTCGACCAAGTCACACCCACAGAAAATCGCTACGGTCGCACAGTTGTGCACTTGGACACATTTTACTGTGTTTTGTCTTCTGCATCTTCCTTTTGCACGTGCACACGCACACACAAAGCATCCCCACCTCCCCTGCACAAGCACACACCGGAGGGCTCCAGTTGCATCAGTGGTGAATTACCATGCCGTTCCACGTTATTAAACATGACACTCGGCCTAGATAATGGCGCCTTTCTTCTCAATTTGGAAGGCTAATCTTATTGCTTTGATTAGCAGCCGATTCATTTGCATTTCAAGGCATCCCTTCTTTTAATTCCTCCATCATAACCCGCCCCTTTAGAGCTGCAGATAAAAGGGATCTATATGTATCTTTCCTGAGCATCTTACCCCCCCCACCCTCTCTCCTCCCATCTTTTGTTCTTCTTGAACTTCTTGTTCATTTTGTTCACATTCTTGCCTTCTCCTCATTTCTTTGTCAACTTCGTTTTCTCCTCCACTCGGTGCAAAGCTGCCTCACATCAAAGACGAGAGGGGAGGAGAGCGGCGAGCGGAGCGTGACTTCATCAGCATGTGATTGGACATTCAGGAACAGCCTCGACGTTCACGTTACTGATTGCCTAGTCGGCAAAAAGTTTCAAGGGGGCAGCACTTTTCAAGAGTAACTTCAGGATTATAACGCTTGCAACAGGACTTTGGTCGCCATTTATGTGGAAAGTAAGATTTGTTTTGACCTTGAAAGAATTAAGAGTGGGCCAAGGGTTTATGTACAGTTGAAGCCAACTCACTTTGCATGAAAAGAAATCATATTAATCATGACCTTAAACCTAAACCGAACCCCCTTTGGAGGACATTTTACCTCCCGCCTGTCAGACCCTCACTGAGTGGGATTTGAACACATGCTGCTTGCACCAAAGTCCAATAAGTGCACGACAACACTGGGGATGGCCAACCGCATGCGCACTCTGAGTTGCCCCTTGATTTTCCCAAAATATTTTTCCTTTTTTTTTTTTTTTTTTTAAACAAACCAAGAAAAATCTGTTTCAAATGATTTTAAAAAAATCTATGTTAACAAAATGTTTCATGACCTATCTTTGTTGTCACTACTAGTGCTTTAAAACTGGCAATTTAAAAGCAATGTCAAAAAAAAAATGGTTGCCGGTCCGCGACCAGCATTTACTTGTGGCAACTGGTCTGTGACAAAAAAAAAAAAAAAAAAAAAAAGGTTGGGGTCCACTTCGCATATACACTGTATGTCCAAATGAATGAAAAAAAAGCAATATTGACATGGAATTAAGTTATAATTGGTCTTTATGAAAGAAGCAAGAAGTAAACTTGACACCGCCTCTAGCATTCAGCAAATTTGTAACGGTCCATAAGGAAATGCACCTCTTTCAGTCAGAGGCAAGAAAGTTACGGTGTCTTGCAAAGCACTTTCATGACCCCCTAGAACACGAGGGCGTTCATCGGTTCATGGAAAAATTCAGGTGGATGTTCTTTTGTGTGTACTTTAAAACGCTGGCTTCCTGCTTCGGAGTGTGCGTAAGATCAAAAAAGCCAGCGAGAGCGAGAGAGAGCGAGAGAGATAAAGATAGTGGGTGTTTTTTATTAGATGTTGCTCAACGCGATGTTTTATGTATCAATAAAGCGCTTCAAGGCCACAGTGACTTTTCACGCTTGAGAAACACTCATCGGTCTTTAAAATGGCAGTCTGGTGAGGGACGGAATCTGAATGCTGCAGCTCTAATGCTGGCCGCTTGTCACAAATGCGAGCCTCAGCGGCTTCGAGTCAAGAAGTCACCTTTTATGCTATCAACGTTTTCAATCGAGCCGTTTTCTAGCCCGCTGATGCTGTTCAGGACTGCGGGCGGCCGGCCGGGTCACAGCCGACCATGCCTGAGGGCTGAATGATACCCCGCACTGGTCACCAGTCAACACTCACAGATGGGCCAGAGCCACAAACTCTGCCAAACGGATGTTGCACATTCTAAGGGTTTGCCGATGAGAACTTTTAACGCGACGGTGAGAATGGATCTTTGCGTGAAGGACTTTTAAGTGATCTGTCGTCAATTAGTGTCTCTTCTATGTGCATTTGAAAATCTATCATAGTTTCAAGAAATCCACTTTACGAGACAACAAACTTTCCGTTGTGGAGATAAGAAGCTGCTTCCAAGGGAAAAAAAAAAATCTTTTAAAACAAAAAGACAATTATCTGATGTCACAATCCCCGGGATCAAACCACAGCCTGTGACAATAGGGCATTGCAAGAGAGTTCATTGACCGAGCGGTGAGCCACCAGCTCGCCCTGCTGTCAGCATTTTGCTCCATAAACGGCCCTGCAGCCTGCAGTCATCATTCTCGCCAATGATTGGGAGGCGCCAAGTGGTGGACGGTATATAAAGGGTCAGGCGCCTTGGTCTCAACGGTACCTTGCTTTTCCCTCAGCTTGCCTCGCCACCTCCGAACGCAAACCCCACCAAAATGGCCTTCACCGGACGATGGGAAACTGAAACCCAGGAGGGCTACGATGAGTTTTGCAAGCTCCTCGGTAAAGCCGCATTCATGTTCACGCCCGACGGGAAACGTCTGACTCAAAGCGGGGCCGCGACCGGCATTCTGCCTCGCTCTTTCTGCAGGTATCCCCGCCGAAATCATCGAGAAGGGCCGTGACTACAAGCTGATCACAGAGGTGAGCCAGGATGGAAACGACTTCTCCTGGACTCAGATCTATCCCACAAACGCCAAGGTCACCAACAAATTCACCGTCGGCAAGGAATGCGACATGGAGACCATCGGAGGAAAGAAGTTCAAGGTAGGACGCAAACGGCTCGTCTGTTGGTTGCTGGAAGCATTCAATAAGTAACAAGGGGCATGCTCGTCAGGCCACCGTGCACATGGAGGGAGGCAAGCTGAGCGTTACCTTCCCCAACTACCATCACACCTCTGAGATCAGCGGAGGAAAACTCATTGAGGTAACCGCACTCATCTCATTCACGTCATGACATGGCTCGACATCTCTGACCGACAACTTCGTGAGCTCATGCTGTGGCCAGCCAGTTCTTGTTCTCCAGGTCAAGAAGTTCGATGTCTGAATCTTGGCACGGGAAATCTGGAGTTTTCAGTTTCCGCCCTTACGTGGTTTTTCTTCACGTACTCCGGCTTGTCCTTCCATTCCGCAAACCCTGCACTGTCGATTTGGTTCATTGGAGATTGTAAATTTTCTGTCGCTGTGAGCGCGAGAATGAATGATTGTGTACACTTTCCCTGCGATTGGCTGGCATTCGATCGACGATGAATCCTGCCTGTCAAAGTCAGTTGGGATTGGCTCCAAATAGCTCCTGTGTGGAGTTTGCGTGTTCTCCCCACGCCTTTCTCCAGGTACTCCGGTTTCCTCCCACATTTCCAAAAAACATGCACGGCAGGTGAATCGAACGCTCCAAATTGCTCATGGGTGTGAGTGTGAGCGCTGGGATAGGCTCCGGCGTGCCGGCAACCCTCGTGAGGAGAAGCGGATCCGATAACGGCTGGATGGAAGGATGTTTTAAATGTAAAACTGTCTTTCTGGCTAACCTCCTTCCGTTCTCTCTTTCTAGACTTCCACAGCTGGGTCCGTCGTGCTTAAGAGAACCAGCAAGAAGATCTAACTGCATGATGATCTTGAACTGCTTGCGTAGTCACGATGGTGACTTCAGGACCACGTCTATCACAATAAAAGAAGTTTGACATGAGCATCAGCTTGTGTTTTCATTGGTAACGTCTGTGTTAGTCCTCTCATGAAGTGCAAAATCTGCGACTATCTGTTTAATCATCTTTGTTGTCACTACAGGTACTTTAAAAGTGGCAATTTAAAAGCAATGAATAAAAATAAAAAAAAGCCTGCCGGTCCGCATACTGCATGTACTTATCTCAACTGGTCCGTGACACAAAAAAGGTTGGGGACCACTCATGTAGCATATTACTTTCTCAAGGGGGCTAAAACAAATACTTTTTGACTTGGCATTTTTAGTGCAGCTGGACTGACTGACACAATGCGCTGCAAATGAAAGACAGCTACACAGTTAGCACGTAACACAACTCGACATGAACTAAATTGCTAGCAAGCTAACTCTCCGTCCGTTGCTTCCTCTTGTGTCATGATTCGGTTTGGGACCAACAGGTGGCACTGTAGGGCTGCAGCTGCACACCTGTTGGTCATTAGGTAATTAGTGCTTTAAAAGGACTCCCAGCCCGACCACTCATGGTCGGGTCATTGTTGCTCTTTGCTCCTGTCATGTTTGTTTGTTGCTGTTTCTCTGCTGCTGTCAGGTTTATTTTGGTCATGGTTCTGTTTTAGCTTCAGTTATGATTTTTGTTTGCTACTTTGGACTATGTTTGTTTTGGATTTAGTTTTCTCTGTTTTAATACACTTCATCAAGTACAACCTGCTCCTCCCTCCTGCCTGCTTTTTTGGGGTCCACCACCACCTCGCTACGTGACATCTTGTGTCCACTCTTTCTCTGGACTGATTTCTCCCGCTCTATCTCTTTTGCTGTCGAGCCATGTGTGTTTCCCGCTGGCTTCCGGCCAACCAAACAATCAGTTAATTAACCAGCTCGGCTCTGGATCATTGTGGAGGCTCTCAGAGGAGCCCTGGAGAGGCTCTCCTTCTCCCAAGTTCCAAATTTACAGCTTCATTAAGCGGACTGGCGTTAGTAGCAAATCTTAAATACCATTGCCAGACTACAGACGCTTGCGTGCATTTGTGTGTCCGCGCACGCGTGTACGTGTGCATGCATGTGTTGGTTTTGAGAGCTGGCGACTCAATAGTTCCCTGATGAAAACAAAATATCTGGGGGGCGTTTCTGCCTTTGAGATGTCGACTGCTTTGGTGTAATAATGAGGCGCTCTCTCTTGCCGTCACATTTGCAATCAAGATCCGACACACTCCTGGAAAAGTAGGGTTGGAAGGCAACAAGCAAGGTATCATTTGAGCATGTTTGTGTAGCTGGCGCAATCATTTGGCAATATTGCTTCCTTTGTCCTCGCGGACAAACAGGCCTAATTGGCTATTTCTCAGTCTACTGTTGATGATTGGCCATTCTGCACTTTTCTGATTGGTCTCCATTTTCGACTGCCACAAGTGGAGAGAAAAATGGCTTGTTCACATCCCCCACACAGTTCTGTTTTTTTTTTTAGCAAGGACTTCAAGCTGAGAGTTTTGGGTCCACAAAAAAGCCAAATCAAATAAAAAGACAAAAATAGGATCGTGAAAAACATTTGAAAGCGTTTTGCGACTTCAATGTTTTGGGAACAATATGGGTCAGACCTGATTACTGCTCCAACATGACTGTGTTCCAGTGGACACAGAAAGGTCAATCAAGTCGTCATTGGTGTGGAAGAATTTGAATCCTTGCAGCGCATCAAACACCTTTGTGGTGAGCTGCAACAGATATTATTAGGCAGCCCCACTCATCATCATCTGATATCGCCGACCTCACTGGGTCAGGTGAAAGATTTTCACAGAAAAAAAATCTAAAATGTTGTACAAATTCATCCCAGAGTCGGATCCACTTTAAAGCGAGACTATATTCTTACCTCATCACAGTATTTGGTTCTCAAATAAGGCGTCCCACAACTATTTTCCATATCGTGTGTTTGCACTGCCATTCACTGTTCAAGGAAAATGTTTTTTTTTTTTTTTTTTGGTCACGCTCCAATGATGTCGCCACCATCCCTGGGAACATCAACTTCCACTTACTCCACTAGAAACTGTTGTTTAACAAAAAACATGCTCTGAATTGAAATTCTTCTTCTTCTTCTCCTTTCGGCACGTCCCTCTTCAGGGGTCGCCACAGCGAGTCAGTAATGTCCATCCGCCCCTGTAAACCGTCCTACCAACTCGCATGGTCGTCTTGGCAAAAGTTTTACGCCGGATGCCATTCCTGATGCAACCCTCCCCATTTCTCCGGGCTTGGGACCGGCACTGGGGAACAGTGCACCCCCAGGGGAGGGCACTGCCCCCCAGCGGCTGGGTTTGCTCTGAATTTAAATTATTTGCATGAAATCACTGTCCAGCCAATCTATTATTTCTTACTTTGGGTGCAGTCATTGGCACCTTCAAGGTCATCGCGAGCAATACAAAATATTCCTGCTTTAATTATGTGTCATACTCCTGGGAAATCAGCTACTTGCAAAACAATTTTACAATTCGGGATCCGGTCAAAGATCTGTTTTTGCACCACTTCTTGGTGACATTTCGACTTCAGCTCACACGGCCGTGACTCCAGTCCTTCATAAAGCGTATGTGGAATGTATTCTGTGCCAGATAAGAAGAGCTAAATGTGTCATTCTTACAGAATGTGCCATGTGTTTACTGGTCAGTGATAATCATTAGTTCTGAGTTCCGATCCAACCACCACGCAGATATCGATAGCACAAAGACATACGGTAAATCCTGAGAGGGGATTTCTTTTCCATGCATCCTGTCATCTCTGTTACTGAAAATTGATCTCAGCGTGCCATCTTGAAAGATGTGTCACTTGCTAAATTGCATCTCAAGGTGAAATGAGGCTTGCCTGAGGGCTTATGACCGAGCATGCATGCTGCAGGTGTCTCCATTGCGAAATTGCTTGCACTATCTTTGACAGATAACATAATTCCATGTGATGTCGACCGAAGTTGAATTTATGAGTGAGGGCCATGACATCACATGTGTCTGACGCAGTTCATTCAGTTGCAAGAAATACTGTTCCGGAAGGAACGCAATACTGGACGACAGTAATAAATACAACGCCATGAAATCAGCAGAATAGCAGAACAGATACATGTAAAAGTATACAATACAATCTTCTTCACACTTAGAGCTTCACCATTTTTTCTATTTAGTTATTAAGAGCATCATGTCTCGTCTGAAGAGATTAAAAAAAAATCGGATCGCAAAACTTCCATCCATTATTTAAGGATGACGAAGGATCGTCGTGCCCTGAATAATCTGCAAATTTAATGAAGTTCTTGAGCTCGCCCCCCTGTGAGATTGTGACCTAAACCACTGCATGGCTTTCTTGTCAACCAGCAAGCCCGCTCGTCATCTATTCATCCGTCCTCGGAAGCTGACTGCCTTTTGCCCTTTAGCCCGGGACCGGGCCTCGCTCTGGGGGACAGTTGCCGGCTTTGTCCTCACCTCATGTCTCACATTCCCCAGACTTGCCCTGGTTCCTTTGCATGCCTGCTCTGTGGGCAAGCGGTCCAGCGCGTATCCATCCAGACAGCCAATCCTACATCCATCCATCCATTCATTCAAAGCCGAGAACAAGGCCTCTCTCTGGGGGACAGTAGTCAACATTGTCCCCACTCTTCATGCCTCACATTCTCGAGGGCACGATCTCCAGGGTACCCCGCTTTCAAGCTAGTGAGGAGGAACACGGGCCGTACACATACCGCATGCCTCGACCCGATCATCGTCATGGACAAAACCAAAGAATGCTGCAACAAAGTCTCCATGGGTTCTTTATTTTTCTGAGGATGTTTTCTCTCTCATCAGAAGTCTTTAGTGACAGCCTTTCCTGTGCTATTTTTGGAGCTCTTCAGACAACGGGCAGTCCTCTCATTTCCTGATGCCACCCAAATTTCCAGACGATGTGAAAACCGATGACCAACGGCAGTTACATTCACACCAAAATGGACATTGAGGTTTGGTTGGCCATTGACCCCCTTTTTGCTGTTGTCGTCGCCGTTGCTGTCGTAAGCACGATGCCACGTCATAGTGGCTTCACACGATGCAACTTGCCAATTAATGGCACAGGGCTGTGTTAGCACCATGTCAAAACGACAAATACAAACAACGGAATCCATTCTCCGTCGTAACTAACGGTACTTTTAAAGGTGCGTTAGATTTTCTTCCGATTCTAATCGCAACGTTCAGTAGTAAGTGAGGTGCCAGCAGTGAAAGTTCCACCAAATACAAGCATACCTTATATGCGCCACTACTGCAACCGGTAACCCCAATAAAAAGGTGCCAAAAAGTAGTGCGGCGTGGTTCCGACACTAGTGGAGTGATATTGAAGAGCTATGCAGTTCGAGTCGATTTTAAGTATCTTAACACCCATTTTATCTTTATATCTTCCAAGCCGTTCATCTGATCTGAGAATGGCCCTCGGACCAGTGCCGCCCACCGCCATCAGTCGTTTTATTTACTTGCTCGACCTAAACTACAAAAAGCTGATCCTGCAGCAAAGGCCGTCTGTAGCGACAGCACAGCGCTATTCAGGGTGGAGGCGTAGGCCGTAATTAAAGATGGCGGCCTTGCCATCACACAATAGCTCTGCACAGAGAGAGCTTTCATTGCATGTATTTTTCTTAACGGGAGAGTGGGTAGTCTACCCTCTGTGAGCATTTAATTGCTTTAACAGCTGGAAAGAAGAAATGGAGGTGGGGAGGGCAGGGAAACACGGACAAGGGAGAGAAAAGTCAGTCATCGGGGGTTTTGAATTTGTCGGGTGGGTCTGATGTTGGTCTGACTGACTTTAAATGAGGTGCAAATGAATCATTTGCAGCCTTGTCCCCTCCAATCAACAGATTGGATCACGTATTTTTGTACTGCGTGTGTTGGAGGCGCCTGCGCCAACATTTGACAGGCGTGGGATTCTTGGCAGGTAGAATGTAGCCTGCAGCATCATGGATGGTGTTATTATTTTGGAACATGTGATGGCAGTAGGAAGAGACAGGAGACACGTTTATTTGTTCCCGTAATTCTCAAAACATCCTCCTCCTCCTCCTGCCCCTCTTGAAGATATTTTTAGTGTCACACGTTTGTGTGCTTGGGTGAATGTGAGCACTGACAAGTGGCTTTGTCTGGCCACTGCAACGAAATGAAAATTGGAGCAGGGCCTTGGGGCGAGGTGAGGTCATGATGTTCCTCCGGAGGTTTCAGCTAATGGAGATCCACTGTTGGGATGAAGGGCCGGCACTTGGGGGCGGGGTTAGCATGACAAATGGAATCCATTGCACAATGGACGTGGCTGAAATTGTCATTTTAAATGCATGTGGATTCCATGTGTCTGCCATGTCGTAAAGGCTTTTAATTCAATCTCTTCTTCGCCAAATCTGTTATTGGCACAATGAATGGCTATTTCTTTGGTGTGAGAGACCGGTGTGTGGCACGTACCAGTTTGATTTCTAAAATTCTGGGGAAAGTCCACACACAGTTCAAATCTTTCTTGGATGACCATAAAGTCATGGAGGTTTTCCAGTCCGGTTTTAAGGTGACGCATAGCACTGAGTCTGCCTTCTGACGAGTTTTTAACCCAATACCAAAAATGGGTTTCCGTGTTTTGTAAGAATCCCGGCATTCAACCCCGGGCACGTCTTGATGTATTTTTATTTTTTTGCTTTCTGTTTCCTTTTCCAGCACTGTCGCCCGTGCTAACATGGCCACCATGTATGTCCATGAATTGTCTTTGATGTGAAAGTTGCACATGCCAACATGACCGCCACGTCGGCACTTCTGCTCGACTGCTCTAGTCTACTGTACATCTGTGACAACAGCGTCACACCCTGGCAAAACAAGGATCAGTCTCTGTTGATTGCGCGACAATGCCAGTAAACAACTCGCGGACTTCGATAACTACTGTAAGAAGGGACATTTTTAGTGAACTGCACATTATTCTGTTTCCATGCAGTCCGTTGGTTCCGGGCCCTTGTAATGGAGGTTCCCACTCTGTACCAAATGCGTTTAATTTCACTGCTTGTCAGATTCCATTTACCACATGGCCAAACAGTGAAAATGCATTTCATGGCTTTGATCAGTTCATTACTGTCTTTGTATATGAGTTCATTTGTCTGGCATCAGAAACTCCATTATGATGCCATGGAGGGAGAGTGAGCAAGTCTGCAGACTGTGAGGCAAAAACTTGCCGTCGTTTCATAATTATCATCAAAATCATCTGCACTCTACATTTCTTCTACAAGTTTGCCTCTAAACTTTGACTGTTGATTTGGATATAAATCGCCTTCTGATTCTATAATAACGTATCGATCAATGCTGTCGTTGTAGTACATTCTACTCTAAACACACTGTTTTTCATCCCAATTTTAAGAAAATGACATTTGATAATAATACATTTTACCCAAGGAAATAAAAGCAGAGTGAAATTTACTTGGGAGGAAAAAAAAAAGACTCAAGAATCCGATCACATTATAGGAGCTCCAAAATGTATTAAGATCCGCAAGAGCGGAAGTTTCCCAGCCAGCGTTTGACACGAAGGCATTTGTTCGCAATTTACGGGGAATACCCCTGCAGACTTATTTGTGGACACCGCTGAATAAGTGAGCTCGCACCTCCCTCGCAGCACTCGGCATTTGTTTTGCAGCTCTTTCTCTTGTTGGGGTTCCCACTGGGGGCTGAGCTGAGAGTCTCCACAAAGCCCTGAGACCCCGAGTGAAGAAGAAAAGGCTACCAAAAGAGAAAAGTAGACAGAGAAAGGGAAGAGAAAAATATAGGGTGAAGGGTCACGGCGGAGTGAAAAAGAGAGAAGTGAGCAGTGAAGGATGGTCACTGAGGGCTGTTACACAAAGAGGGAAGCGTGAAGAAGAGTGAAAATAGTGGGGGATAACGGAGATGGGGGACTCGAGTCGAGAGATGCTTCAATCGATCGCTGGCCGATCGGTCGATATGCGTGAAAATGTGCGTGATCGGTGATTGACATATTTCTGCCTCCGGGTTTCTTTTCTAGCGGCACGGTGGAAAACTCGTTAGCACGTCCGCCTCGCCGTGCAGAGGTGCAGGGTTCGATTCCGGCTTGTGTGGGTTTCCCCCTCGGGTACTGCGGTTTCCTCCCACATTCCCAAAACATACACAGCAGGTTAACCTAATACTCTAAATTGTCCCGAGGTATGATTGCGAGCGCGGATGGATGGTCGTCTATGTGTGCCCTGCTATCGGCTGGCGACCGGTTCAAGGTGCACGCCGCCTACTGGCCGAAGACAGCTGGGATAGGCTCCAGCACCCCCCGCCACCCTTGTGAGGATAAAGCGGATCGAAAATGGATGGATGGCTGAGTTTTGCGTGAACAAATACGATGATCTTGAAGTCGCCTTTTAAAACTGGACAAATATGATGAAAGTAGGCATCTTCCTCACCGAAATTATCATCTGGCACCTGACTGGTGACGAAACAAGGGTTGGCAATTTGGAAACACAAAGCATCAAAAAAGGGCACAATATGTGTTCAATTGGCAATAAATGCGTCGGAGTCTCTTTGGCAGTGTGAGCTCTTCACACAGGGGTATCTCTGTCCAACTCCTCCCTGCACAGCACGATGCGATGACAGGCATTACATACGATTATCTCCCCCTTTTTTGCTTTGATGTTGGAACTACAACAGCGAGTGAGGTCAAAGAGAAAGGGATGGACATACTTGTGCAATGTTGCAATGAAGAAAGACGAGGGAGTGACTCCAAAAGTAAGACAGAGCGATTGCCTCTTGACTTGGTGAGAAAGAGATACATCATTATATCATTGTAAAAATCCCAGAAAGATAGGGTGTAATGGGGGCTTTCCTCTCCCCCACGGCTGCTTTTGTAATTTATCCCCCTCTTCTTCCATCCTCCTATCACTCGCTTTCACCCAGTTACCCATCAATCTTTTTCCAATTACCTGCTCTGTCTATCCACAAATCCATCATAATCATTTCCATGGTAACGGATTGCATCCTCCATTGGCTTTGGCCTATTGTTCAATATAATTGCATGCCCAAAAGCTGCCTTTTAACGGAGGCAAAGTGTGGCACAGAGGGAGAGCGATCAGGATTGTGTCTGGGTGCTGAGAGTTTAAATGTCTCGCACATATTTTTAGGCGTGTCGATGTCAGAAGAGCGATGTCAGAAGAGCGTGAAAACCATGAAAAGACAACACTAACCAAATTTTTGCTCACCTTGCCGTGGCAATGTTAGCCGACCTGCCTTGTATATCTGATGCCATAACCATAGCCCGCTCAGGGGTCTTGACCTCTGTAATAATTTTCCCTCTCTGAGCAGTCTTTACATGCGCAAGTGGACAGACATATGTGTGATGGGACAAACATGATGTTGTCCGTATATCACCCTAAACATATTCAAGTGAGCAAGCATTTTGCCCTGCTCAGCTGTTGCAGCTCAAGGCCAAGGAAGGCGTTGTCGCAGTGGCTTTGAAGGAGAATAAGTTAAGATGGGTCTCTGACACATTGGCAAATTTGAGTTTGTTTTTCCCAGTAAAATTAAATGTCAAAGCATTTCAACACCAGGTGACGCATTCGGCGCAGTCAGTTGATTGTACCGAGCCAAAGCCACTTCTGGTGATCACTCGTCGACTCCATAGGGAGCCCATCACCAGCAATGTCAAAGAAAAGACGACAGCGATGGCCCAGAAAATCCACGCAAGCACGGACAGGGAGAGCATGCAAACTCCACACAGAAAGGCCAGGGCCTGATTCGAACACACGACCTCTGCAGTGAGAGGCGGATGTGCCAACCAGTCGACCGCCATGCCGCCACAAATCGAAACACGGGAAATCCCCTAAAAGTGCTTCAAATGAATGTGCATTTACTGACCAAGTAATTGTATGTTCGTGTGATAGTGTGACTTGAATTAGCAAAACAGTAACATTGTTATTCACAAGGAGAATTTAGGTTCTTTTTTTCAATCTCTCTTCATTTAAAACACACGTGTAATAAATAAGGTGAGATTAAGTGTGGGAAAATATTTTGGGGGAAAAAGAGAAAACATCGTTTTTAAAAAGCTCTTGCCACCATTGTCTTCTTTATTCCACCAACTCAACAGCGTCAAGGCATGTAGATACATGGCACAAGGTCAACAAAACGGGAAATTGAGGAAATTCGACTGTAAAAAAAATTACAAGAGGGGTTTTATTTTACAGGTTTCATGATGACAAAGATCTGTGTCAATCACTTAAATGAAGTCTGTCAAATCGTTCTGCAAACCAAATGCACACATTGTGGTGAGCCTTTGGACGTCATTTTTTTAAATTGTATTTTACTTTGAAAGGGCGAACGGGACGTGTAGTCTGCACACCGTGGAACTGCTTTGTGTGTGCGTGCGCGCGCGTGTGTGGTCGGCTTCCGGCTGCGACTCAGCTTCGGTGAGCCGTGGGTCTGGTCAGTGTCGATCGACTCGCTATGGCGGAAGGACGAAGGGACCATCCACCCCATCCTCTCCTGACTCTACCACCGGTTAGTAAGCGACCCTGCCTGCGCCCTGCTCCCCGAGGTCCCGGTCCTGGGCCCGGACACGGACACGGAAGCGGCTTAACCAGCTCTCGACATCGCTCCCCGGAGTCCCTCCTGGACTGTGCCGCGAAGGCAGTAGCGGAAAAGTGGGCCTTCGAAAGAGTAGAGGAGCGTTTTGAGCGGATCCCAGAACCCGTTCAGCGTCGGATCGTCTACTGGTCTTTTCCCCGAAACGAGAAGGAGATATGCATGTACTCTTCGTTTCAGTGCCGAGTAGCCGGCGAAGAGGGTCCGTCTACAGCTCCCAACGGGGCAGCGGGTGCCGGGTCCGGATCTCCAACTACCGCTGGTGGCGGAGGAACCGTCACTGGTACGACGACAGTCGGAACAAGCGGAGCAGTGGGAACGGGAGATGCACTGCCTTTCCGCCGCGGTATCCGGTTGCTCGAGACCGGCTGCGTGGAAAACGTCTTGCAAGTCGGTAAGTGGTAAGATTCTCCGTAAAGTAACGCTCAACCGCTTGGCTCAGTGGACCGTTGTCGAGCGTCCCGACAGAATCCTTTCCGGACGCGCATGATTGAAGCGTACTCGGAACTATGTTTTTTTATGTATTGTTTTGTTCCATTCCAAACACGAGCGTGACAGTGGTTGCGTGACAAATGTTTTGAACTCCACCAAGGTTCCTGACCGCGTGAGAGTGGAGATAAGGTTGCTTGCTGACATACCCGACCAGCTGCTGTTTAAAAATTAAAGGGCTTCCGATTGTGGCCTCGCTCCGCTTTAACTGGCCTCTCTCTAATTGTGGTATTTCAACGTAAGCCGTGCTATGTTTTGAGTCAACTCAAAACACTCCAAGAAGAATGGAAGATGAGCTCATGTTCACTTTTTCGACGAGCGGGTTGACTGGAGCCCCCGGAGGAGGTTCTCGTGCTGACAGGCACCGATACAAAAGGACTCAACGGGGCTTTATGTTTGTTGGCGTCAATTGCCAATTGCAAATCTTTTTTTTTCCCTTCCAAAACTAGCCGTTGGTTCAGAGTGTCTTAGCCAAGGAACAAAGGCTGTTTTTGGGTCTCTTATTATGATTAATCCGACGTTAATCCGAGAAAGAAAAAAAAAAGTCCCCCACACGGCTGTGTTTACTCGCCGCTGCTGATCGGAGTGGACAAAGAGACGCCGGCGCCACCAGCGTGGAAAAGAGCTTCCGTTGGTGGTGTTTAGCGTCGGTGGTTTGGCTATAATGTTGAAATCGGCTCTTTGCGTGCGTTTGCTCAGACGCTTTCCACACAAAAGGCTCACGGTTGAAATGATCGATAACCGTCTCGCATTTCCAGCTCTGCAGAGAGGATGTTTTCAAACAAAGGGCCATTCCGCAAAAGCTCCTTCGCCAACGTCATCCTTATTAAAGTCCTGATAGCCACAACATAAGATTGGACATGACGAAAATGAATGCGATTGAAACCGATAACTGGTGAAGAAAGGCGGGGGGCGGGGGGCCGGGGGGGGGCAGCCTCTTAGTGATATTGGGCTATTTTTTGTCTTGTTTGGCCATATGGCGTGAGAGGCACTGGAGCTTGTCTGAGGTTTTATGTTCCCTCAAGGTATCAGGGGAAGCTGCAAACTGTGGCTTCTTTTTGGATTGCTGTATCTTATTGCATCTTTTTAAAATGGCCATTGATTCCACTTCATTACTCTCTGAAACGTGAAACTTGTGAATATGAAAGCGAGATTTACTTTTAGCTTTGTTTAGTGCCATCTGGCTTGATGCGTTTGTGCAAGCTTGCGAGATGTGATCCTAAAGCGGCACCTTCATTAAAGTGTTAATGTCAGGATAATTCTAGCCGGTTGATGATTGCCTGTAATTGGGCACCATATGCAATGGATGTTGGCAAGGGGGCTTTAACTGGCAAGAAGGGACACTTCCGGTTATCATAAACACCATGCTCATAAAAGCTGCACAGCATGCTGCTTTGGTGCATATAATGTAGTCATTCAAAACATATGGCACATAACTGCTGTTCTATATGTATATGTAGATAGATATAGATATAATTTGGGGGGGGGGGGTTCAAATAAGTTACATCCCCTCGGGTGTAAAACTGACATTTTAACGAACAAAAACAAAGTATAGTCAGTATCTGAAAGCAAACACCACCAGCCTGAACCTGTCTCTCCACACGTTGTATCTCATCTCCACCAAGGTCAGTCACAGCAGGTCGACACATGGTTTTGCCTCTCTGTCAACAAAACGAAGACCAGTTAAATAGTTGTGTGACATCAAGATGAGATTCGGCCTGCCCCTCAGTTTGTGGGAACCAGTTGCAGACACATTAAAAACAACTTTTGTATTCAAATAACATTCGGACAAGCTAGCATGCACAATAAACCTATTCAGCAGATGGTTACACTCCTGGATTTACCAACTGCTTTTCACTTGGCCCTTGCCACTATGTTGCGTTGGCTGCCCTGCTCTTCTGATCGATGCTTACACGTGTGTGTGTGTGTTGATGATGCATGCTGAAAAAGATGGCTTTTTTTTCTTTTTTTTTTTTTGTTAGGGATTTGCACGAAAGAAATGGGTTGTTGATTGAGTCACTTAAAAAAAATCTACTCAAATTCTTTATCAATTCTTTATCCTCAGTATGTCACCGGTGTTGATTTCACCACACAATGTGTGTCATTGTGTAATACCAGTTTGCTGTGTGACAGTACATGCCGTTGTACTGTGTAGAATATCCAGATGAATGCAAGATCTTCTACCTTAACTCTTGTGGAAAAAATTGTGCTTGATCTGTGCTCAAGAAGATTCTGATACAGAAAAGAAACTATAGCTTCTTTTGCAAAACATAAAACAAAACAAAAGAAATCATGAGCGTGAGCAAGCCAACTTCCTGTTATGGTTGAAGAACAGAACCACAACTTTGTTTCACTCACTTTAAGTCACCGAATGCGATTTTCAAACATTTGATGGCATTAGCTCATAGTCTGAATATTTTGCGATACTGCTCATTGAAGTATTTGCAAAATGTTTCAACAAGCACTAAAGCAGCCTGAACTAGTTGTGGGAAAGACGATCCTTCTGGCACTTCACGGCAAGCGAATCCTATTTGAACACACCTTTTAGATGCAGTTTAGACAATGACGAGGCGGATTACTATCTTCAGTTCAGCGCAAGCGCACGCGTACGCGTACACTTAATAAACACACTTTGCAAGTCAAGTCCTTTGTCTCGGTTTAACTGTAACACTGTCTGATTGGCGGGATTGCTGAGCTCATCAACCACTGATCAGCCCATGTGTAATAATCCACTTCGAGCTCCAAGTCATCATTAGAATAGTCAGAGCGAAGTGCGCTTGTGTATTTACCACCCCCACATCCCCAATATACCCCACGTATGACCAGAAGCTCCCTTGCCAGTTATAAAGTCCTCAGAGAGCAGGAGGGAAGGTGGGTAGGAGGGTGGTGGTGGAGGTGGGGGAAAGGGGGGGGGGGCTTCCTCATCTTTGAATCAAGCTTTCGGATTATTGGGTCATGCTTTGTTACCCAGCTGCAGAAAAACCCCTTGTTCACAGCAAGGGGGGTAGGAAGGATCAGTGTGTGAATATATGTGTCCCTTTCCACGTCTCTGTCTGTCGAATGTTACATCGAGTCGTAATGGGTCCCCAATGGCTTTTGAAGCCACGGTGGTTGTGACGAAGCGAGGCGGCGGAGTTGAACAGGATTAAACTCTTTGCGACAGTCACTCAGGGCTTCTTCCCAAAGGCTCTAATTCACACTTCCAGGTAGCCAGTGTCCATTTAACCCTTGACTTCACCTGTATGCAAGGGCGGATCTTCTTCGACTGCCTCCACTTGCTGTGACATGGGGAATGGAATCAGAAAAATGTGTTTTTGTTTCCTGAAACTGTCACCACACAGCACCGTACTTTTTTTGGGGGGGGTTCCTGTTTCTTGCGTTCGTTCCTTCACGTGAAGCTGACGCAGCTGTTTTCATTTCACCCAAAAACACCATATCGTGATAGCTCGAGACCGATTGGAGGTCGGCGGGTCCAAAATATCCCGTGCCACACCACACCGAACTGGACCGGTTGATGATTGAAGAATGGACTGGCCAATATTGTGTGAGAAATTGCCCAATTTCTCTTTGGTGGCACATGAGCTTTGCCATAAAAGGACAGCTGAAAATGCAAAGGTCATCCTTGCAGGCGTCATCTTTTTTTCTTCCTCAATTCTGTGAAGTAGATGTGTTGCTTTTTTTACCCAAGGCCTGATTGTGCATGCCTCGAAGCAGCCAGAGCAGGACTTGACACTTGAGGTCAAAGTATCCAAAACGGCTGTGCTTTGTAAGTTGTGTTCGTATTCCAAGCCAAGACGACAGTAATGCACCTTACTTTGGAGTCAGCCAATCCTCCATGAAGCGTCTCCAGTTGGTCCAGAATGCTGCCACTTTCCTCTTGACTGGTACTCGTAAGAGGGAGCACATAACTTCTACTCTGGCATCCCTTCACTGGCTCCCGATATGTTTTTTGAGTTATTTTTAAGAGCGTACGATTTGAAATGGCCTGGCCGGTGCCTCAGGTCTGTGGATCGGACTCTAGTAGAGGAACCGAGGACTAAGCGGAGGCTCCGAGGGGATCGAGCCATTTCCGATGCCGGTGCCTCTCTTTGGAATGACCTCCCGCTGCCCATCTTTAAAACTCATTTATATTCTTTGGTTTTTGACACAGAATGAGACTTGGTTTTTAATTTGACTGTTTTTGTGCTTTTGACCCTCTTCGTTTTTCATTTCTTGTTTTATTTATTTTGTTGTATGAATTAGTTTTGCTCCATGGACAGCACTTGTATCCAGCGGTGTGCTTTTTAAAAAGTGCTCTAGAAATACAATTGAGTTGAGTTGAAGAAAGTCTGTTCCGGACTGGAGTAAGGGAGTAGAGGTTCTCAAACTGCACTAAATTACCTTCAACACTACTGCAGGTTTTCCCCACTATGATGTTTTACTTGTTCCATTGGCTGGATTTACGCGATTTACTGACTGTAATTTCCGGACTACAAAACACTCATGATTAAAAGCTGCAACAGCTTAATCTTTAAAACTAATTCGTCCATACATTGGTCGCTTTAAAAATGGCATATTTGCAACAAAAGAAAAAAGAGGTCACACAATGTTGAAAAAACAAACAAACTTGTGTTTACCATAAAACACTGCGGTCCATGCCTCCCCTCCCCCCAATGCTGAACGCAGCCAGTTACAAAATAGCGTCACAGTGACAGAAAGAACCTTTCTCAGTCTCTCGTTGTCACACGAGGCAAATTCTCCGGCGAGCTTGACCACCACGCCGCAGTGCAGCCTTGGGAAACCAGTTTGCTACGTGCTGAGGAGACGCAGGGGCTGTTCGGACTCGTTCCCCATGCTCGTGAAACTGAACTCAAGATGCTTATTTTTACTCAACTTAAGACTATATGTTCTCCGTTAGCTGCCGAC